TAATGAAGTGTCGAAGTTACCCTAATTTTCGTGGTCTACATTTGTAGATCATTGCTGATTGTAAACTTTTGTCCACCGAGTGTACTATGTTTTATAATAAAACCCAAATTTCTGTGCCGGTTATACATAGCGATCAGTTTATCCATATATAGCCAGAAGTGCGATTTTATATAATAAAATATGATGTTATTTATTATTATCATTAAGAATTCCTTATTTGTCGACTTGTCACGTGTGAATTAGATTTGCTTCGATCGGTTCGATTTAAAAAAACCGAATCTGAACCGATTGGCTCGAACCACGGTTCGGTCCGGTTTAAACTGAACCGTTCGGCGCACAAGTTGTGCATTTTGGCGTTTTTTATATATATACTGTATCTAAGAATTCCGACTTCGATACTTTAAATAGTTAGTGGCTTATCATGTAATTGTTCTATTATATATATATGTAACAGAAAAAACAACTGCAACTAAATTATAATAAAATCTCTCTTCTCGCTACGGAATACATCCTCAAATATCTCAAAGAATTCAATCACCTCTAAATCTTCAGAAGTTTCTGATGAAATTGCCCATTTTCGATAGAACTAGCTCATCAACCAGATTATGAATGAAGAAAGGACCGAAAGTGATAAATTAAAGAGGAAAAAGAAGTAGGCTAGTAATTCAGTTCATTTTGTTTAAATGATTGTTAATTTTAGAAGAGATAAAATTGTTAAGTTTAGAAGAGCTTCACAAGTAAATAAATTAAACTTGTACTCGATTCGTTTTACCAAACCATCGAAGCAGAACACGCAAATATTATTCGAGGTGGCAAATAAGGTTTAGATATTCATAGTTACTGTCTATTAAGTCAGTCTACTATGGAAAAAAGATAAAGTATCTACCAATGCCGATCACAATATGATCGGAGATTGTTTTCCTGCTAACAATTTTGTATTTATAATTCTGGGAAAAATATTAGAATGTTCTTTCACTATAGAATTCAACTTGCAACATCACGTTTTGTATACAAAAATTGTGTATTACTTAGACGAAGTATTTTAGTTTCTACCCCCCTGCGTCACGACGTTAAGTCCCATACATATATACGCAATGTGTATATCGATACCGATACACTTTGTTAATAATAGGGTTGATAATATCGTTGTGTACGCCCAATTGCATTATTTATTCATCAAGAAAAATAACTCTTATTAATCATAACGATAAGAAATTTCATTCGATTGATAACCAGATCAGGGTAATAGAAGAATTGCGAGGAAAATCAAATCTCATTATGTACATGTATACGATATGTACAAATGATAACGGTTCTCGTATTCGATTATGATTAAAATTCGGTAAACAAAAAATAAAAGCAATCCATTTGACAGTCGATAGCGATGGGTTCAATTATTAACGTTAATCTAACAAATGAAATAACACTAATCAGAGATTAGCGTTAAGTGATTTAAATAAATATGTACATTCATCAAAAAAACCACTTGGAATAGTGGGGGGCTGTACTACGAAATACTAGTACAAATTAACGATGGGATGCATTTTTACATTCGCACAAAAGGATCCAATTTCCACAATATCCGACCCGATAAGGTATCCATTTGTATTTGTTTCTTACAAGAACAATGGAATTATGAATAGTAAAAATAATAGAAGTTTGATGTTTCTTTGTAGAACATATAAATAAATCAAATAGAAGATTATATTTAGAAAACTCGAATTCGTAGACTAGATTCTATTTTCCATTTTAATTTATAAATGACAGAGAAAATTAACATTAAAAAAACGCGTGATGGTATTTCATACGTGTCGTTGTCTTCATCCATCAAGCAAAATCGCAAATTGCAAAAATTTCTAAATAATAGAATGACTTTTTTAAACCCCACTACGCAAAAGGAAACAATGGACTGAATAGAATGAAGAAAAATTATGGTTTCTCTTTTGTCACCTACTTGGAATCCAAAACATTATACACATTAATATTATTACCGTTACCCATTAACATTTTAGTAAGACAAATGAGTAATAAAATAGAAAATAGTCACGTGCCTTAACTCGCTCCCCGAGTTTTCGACCAGACACAACTGTTTTTTTTTCTCGGTCTTTGTGTCTCATTTCGCCACTATATTAGAAAATGTGTATCAAATTTATGCGTCTTTATTATTATGTACATTTTATTATTATTATATATATTATCATCATTTTATTATTACTATTATTATAAAACTGATAAGTTAGGATTTTTCGAAGAAGAAAAGCGTATTTCTTTTTTTTTACTTTTATTTGATAATATATATATACATACATAAAAAATATATATCAAAATATATATATATATATATATCAATATCAATATAAATATTAATATTTTGCTGTTGGTGCACCGCAAGTAAAATACAAAGAACACACACAAACAACGACCGCACAACGATAAGTTTTGTTGTCCGTTGTCCACGTTACCGTCTTGTTTTATTTTTTATATAATAAGCCAATATTTTGTAGCTTCTTTTTTTTTTTAAGAAAAAAACTTTATTTTTCCTGTGAGACGAATACAATAAAGAGAGTGTGTGTTGCTATAGTTGTACTGAAATTTGAGATTAGGGCTTGGAAAAAAATAGCGACAAAGAAACGGACACCAGAAATACGAAATAAAAATTTAATATTTAGAAATATTTTCGTACTTGTAATTACAATAATAATAATAATAATAATAATAGTAATACTAACAAGAATCATAATAATAAACAATGGATTATTTGTTATTTTCGGTGAGCAATCTTAACTTTATTTCTTCTTACAGACGGAACAATAATTAGTTTGATTTTACTAATCGCCTATTATTAACTTTTTTTTTAGCATACTGATGCTAATTGCTATCAGCAATCTTCAGCAACAGCATCTTCATCATCATCACCATCATCACCACCATCCTCAATATCCGGATGTAGAAATCACAAACAATGTCCAATCTGTAGTGATCCCTCAGCAACCGAGGAAGTAAACTCGTTAACACTGCGAGGGGCAAAGCTACGACGAGATCATCAATTCAATGAAGCACTCATAGTCCTAAACAAAGCGCTAGAACTAGACCCAAATCACGCACCAGCGATTCAACTTCGTGCCGAAGTGTTTCGAAAACAAGGAAACTACTTAGCATCACTAGCAGAATTTACAAGATTTCTAAAATTAAAACCGAACAATATTTCTGCGTTGGCATATCGCGGGGAAGTCTATCGAATGTTGAATCGTGATCAAGAAGCATTGGATGACTTGACGATTGTATTGCGTACCGAACCAAATAACGCGTTCGCATTACGAGGACGTGGAGAAATTTATCGAATGATGAATCGATATCAGGAGGCATTGGTTGATCTGAATCAGTCGGTTCTCGTGGAACCGAACAATGCGTTTGCTCTTCGTGGTCGCGGAACTGTTTATCAGAAGTTAGGCAGATATCAGGAAGCAGCTGATGATCTATCCAGGTCATTAGAGATTGAACCGGATAGTGCATTCGCATTACGTCGTCTCGGAGAAATTAATGTGAAACTTTGTAGGTACGAAGAAGCATTGCAACACTTAAATAAGTCGATTGAATTACGGCCGGATAGTCTCAGTGCATACGAAACTCGTGCTGGTGTCTACAAAAAACTAGGCAGGATTGAAGAAGCATTAGCAGATTTAGAATTTGTCTTGCATCGAAATCCCGATAATTTATCGGCACTGAAAGAACGTAGCGAGATATATCGCACGAAAATTCGAAATGAAGATGCATTGGTGGATCTGAATAAAGTTTTATTGGCTAAACCAAATGATGCTTACTTTTTGCGTGATCGTGGTGAAGTCTATTGTCGATTAGGAAGATACAACGAAGCATTAACAGATTTAAATAATGCATTACGTCAACGACCTAAAAGTGGGACTGCGCTAGAAAATCGTGCTGGTGTGTTACATCATCTTGGGAGATATCCAGAAGCATTAGCTGATCTTGATAAGGTAATTCAATTAAGACATAGTAGTTCCGCATTAAATCTTCGTGCGGAAATCTATGCTTTATTATCACGATACGACGAAGCCCTCGAAGACCTAAACAAAGTACTAGCACGACGTCCAAAAAACACAACAGCATTAAAAATCCGAAGTGGAATCTACAAAACACAACATCGATACGCCGAAGCACTTACAGATCTCAATCGTCGTATATGTCTCGAACCTCGCGACATATCAGCATTATGTGATCGAGCACTAGTCTACCAGAAATTACTACGATATGATGAATCACTGGTGGACTTAAATGCCGTGTTGAACTTGGACACCGAGAATGTCGTGGCACTTGCGCTTCGCGGACAAGTGTACCATGCATTAATGCGGTTTACGGATTCGATGGTGGATTTGGAAAAGGTTTTCGAGTTGGAGGGTCAGTATCCATTAGAACAGTCGTCTGATGAATTGGAATTTAATCGATTTGTCGACAGTATTTACAAGAATTCTTTGAGTTGGCAGTAAACGAACCATTACTATTATTATTCTTATTATTTATTTATTATCCAGTTCTTTATCATTTATAATTGGTCGTGATAGATGGAAACATTCATTATTTATTATAATTCAAAGGAACATTCTCTTATGACAAAGATTCCCTTAAAACTAATAATAGAAATAGTCTATAATAGAGTGTAGCATACATTGGGCCCAAACAATCGAGAACAATTAGTATTATTAGTTGCTCATACATTATTATTTTTCCTCGCTTACTTCTCACGTGATAATATAGAATTTTTAGGCACATTTTTAAGCGTATCTTATTAATTAATTACTTAGAAGTTTACAATCAAAACAATAATTCCTTGTTCTTTATTTAGTTTCTTCTTCCCTTATATATATAAAAAATCACCCTCCCCCCTTTTAATTTTTTCTTTCTCTGTAAAAACCATTCCCAAACTGAATCCAAATCCTTGTTCTTATATATTCCTCTATTTAATTCTACATTTTTCCTCTTCTTTTGTAAACTATATGAGATCAGATCAAATTTAAATATAAGTTTTTTTCGCCTTTCTTTTCTATATTAAATCCTTTGGTTTTAATTAAGTATATACATCAATAGAATAATACATATAGAAATAAATATTATCAAATCAACATCCTAAAATAAAATAAAAAATTAATATAATGATGTAAATTATCATACGTAAATCGGATGGTTAACATCATATGGTTCTTTGTTTATCTATTTGTTTAGTACTTATTTCGTGTGTTTCAAACGCTGCATCTCATTGTCAAATAGTAACCGTTGTTGTGCAACACCGCATACACAATGTTGACTCATGACGACAACGATGATGTCGATAAAGTAAGAATGCGTTAAATCAACATCCATCAGATAATCAAGCAGGTATGTATCTGGGTCTGGTCGTAGGTGAATGGATCAAGTACACCCTGACGTGTAACAAAGGAATCAATAATGACCAGGCAGGTACTTGCTGACAGAGAATCAATTCAGATTTTTTTATTGTTGTTCTGTTTTTTTTTCTTAAAGCGAGTGGTGACGCCGGTGTTGGGGGAGATAGAAACTTTTTAGATGATATAAAATGATCACGTTCACTATTTGTAATATAAATAGAGTGATAATAAGAACAATAATACTAATTATAATAGTAAAAAAATAATAATTTTATATGTATATATAAAAAAGATACGAAACCAAACGGACATGAAATACAGTTATGGCTGTCATTTTTGATATGTCGGATCGATGATCGTTACACATTATCAGATTCTTGTCATCGTTTGGGTAAAGAATGTAAGAACAAAAAATACACGCATACACATATCGATAAAACATGTCTGTCTGTATACATTGCATGTATGCGTGTGAATTTTTGTAAAATTAAGATTTTCAAGATTTAAGGAATAAAGGAAATGAATGAATGAATGAATGAATGAATGGATGATATAAGATTTCAAATCCCCGAGGTTGGCATTTTTATTGTGGAAAAAAAGATCGAGATTAATATAAGTGGGTGGCATCGAATAAAATATATAACATAAAGTACTAAATTACAATAGGAACACAAAAAAATTGGCAAAAAATTGTCCAAAAAATTAATTATAAGACAAAAGGAACGAATATATCGGGAGACGTGAAAAGTGTGTGTGTAACGGATGAACATGTAAATCTTGTCAAGATCGATTTGATTACCAAAGAATATAATCTTCGGGTAATTTTTTTGATTGCTGATAATAATAATTAATTGAACAAGTTTAAATGATATATGAATCACGGCAAATTGAAAATAATATTGAGTGATTTGAAATTCGACATATTGCCGTGGTTATACTATCCATTTTTTGTCATAAGCATAATTTGTGTATATAAGTCCCAGTCGAATTTGATTGCTTAAATGATTAATATTGAGTCTGGTCGAACAAATATTCCTTGATTCGATGCAGTCTCAAAGTATTGAATATTGGCCACTGTTCCATTATTCTTTCCGACTAACAAAATCCCAAGAAATTAAAAGAATCAGCGACTATAGAAGAAATAAATAATATTAATGAAGAAATTAAACAATAATACTTACCAGGATTATCTAATTCTATTCCCACCCAATGACCCTTTGCAAACTCAGTTTCACCCAAGAATTGTATGGTTCCAGGTGCATTATTCTTTGTCGGTAAAATTACTCTCCTACCTACTGAAATATCCGGATCTTTAGTAGTTGATAATTTGATTTGATGTGGTTTCGCAGGTAAACTGCTGATTGATCCAGTTGACGTTGAAGTCATTGTAGTTGAGGTGGAATATTGCGATGGAGATCGTTTCGGGTGAACAGCTGATGATGATGCTGTCGAACTTGCTACCGATGAAACTGATGCAATTGAACTTGCTCGTGAAGATGCTGGAGAAGCATTTGATCTCTCTGTATCTCGACCACGACGTTGTTCTGTCTCGTCAAATTTAAGTTGGCGTAACATGCTTGCACGTGTTTGCCGTACACCGCTAAATCGACTTGGGGAAACAGATGGGGATTTCTGTGAATGTGCAGATGATATTGAGCTTGCTCGAGATGAAGCTGTTGAAGCGTTTGTTTGTTTAGTTGAATTACGGCCTCGCGTCTGAGATGTCGATGATGAAGAAGAAGTTCCTGGTACTTGAAGTAATGAGGTTGATGAAGATCTCGAGGCCCGAGCAGACGCAGATGTTTTTGGTTTAGTTGAAGTATTAGCAGTCTTTGAATTATTCGTACTGACTGTAGATAGTCTTGATGGTGCTGTAGATAACCTTGATGGTGCTGTAGATGTTCTTTTCTTTACTGGATTTTTCATAGCAGCTTCAGCCAATGCTTTTTGACGTAATACACTTGCTCGTGTAGGTCTACCGAATGTTGATGCAGCTGCTGCTATTCGGACACTTTTAGTTTTTCTAGTATTAATTTCTGCGACTGATGAATTTGAATTGGATCCATTTATATTATTACTATTTGATGATCCACTCGTCGATGATGAAGCAGCATCATTTGAAGATATTACGCTATTGGTTGTTGCCGCTCTTCTAAGTGTTGTGGTAGAGGGTGTGGCTGATGTTGGTGATGTCGTCGCTGAATTAGTTTTTGATGAATTGCTTGATGGTGCCTTTGATTTTGTTGATGGCGCAGTGGCTGTTCTATTTATTTTGAAAGCAGGTGAAGATGAGGAATGTTTTCCACTGTCACGAATTCCGTTTGTTGAATTTGAAGCTCGAGCTTTAGTTGGTGGCTTTTGTTCGGTTGTAGCAGTAGCTGCGGATGAGGAAGAGGCAGCAACTTCAACATCCTCAGTTAATTCTGCGGTCGTAGTACCAAGATCTAAAACGATAATTATTGGGTTATTATTTTAATAAATTATGCGATATTTAAAGGCAAATAATCTTTAATTTATACCTTGCGCAAATTCGCTCAATAACCAATCGCTTAACCCTTGGAAACCACCAATCTGTTTAATCCCTATCCACCGTTTTTTCATATACTCGTAAACATTCTGTTTAGCTTGCACCAAAATCCTTTTCGTTTCCATACTCTGTGCATCCTTAACAGCTTCTCTCATCAATAGATTGCCAGTAATACATTTAAGCACCGTACCGGCATTCTGCTCAGTTAGTCCTTCATCAACTACCACATTCATAATGTCCTCTAACAAATCGGAACTAAAACCGACACCATCTACACAATCTAAAAATTCAGCATCATTCTCACACAACTGCACAAAATTGTCCACCAACATCCCGGCAGTATACGAGCGCACCTGATTGATTGAACCACGTACTATCTCGATCCACGGTAATCCGATTCCTTTGACTTCTATCTGCGCCAATACTCGTCGACATCCTTTAAATGTAGCGACGATATTATGACTTTGTATGTTGGACAGTAATGTTAATACAACTTCTTCTCTTGTTTCTTCTTCGAGTTCCGCAAATATTTTTTGCGGCCACATATCATCAAAGCCTTCTGATAGAACATGTAGACATCCATGCCAAAGCTTATCTATAGAGTGCTCTTTTGCAAAGCTTGCAATACGAGGTATAAATGTCTGACATTCTATACAAGTGCAAGCGAATGCATGAACTTTTGTCGCTATACGATAAATACATTCATCGCATAAAGTTTTTATCCCGAGAAAATCAGCACCTATCCATACCATCTCAATTGTCTCTAGAGTAAGAGGCTTCTTCGATGACGATGTTAAATTTCCAGTGTAAATGAATGAGAGAATCACATTGAGTGATGTTGGAGTAAATATCGTAGCATCTAGATGGACCGATGGCACGCGAGCTTCAATGAATTGTGAACTAAGCATGGCTTTAAAATATTCTGACCTCGAAGCTAACATAAATCTATGAGCGCGATGTGACGTCGAAGTAAAGTCTTCATCTGGGAAGATCTCCAGAGATTCCTCAGACATTGACAGTATTAATTCAACGTCCGTGTACAATTTAGACTTCAACATGTAAAGTAAATCCTCTTTTAATTTTTCTTGTTCCAGCTCTTCCGTTGTGTCAACAGCTGCCAGAAACTCTTGACTGCCTTCTTCTGCGGTATAAAAAAATTTTAATTCTTGTTTAAAAAAATAAGGGTCCGCATCTGTCTTTACAGCAATAGGTTCTGTATTGGATATCCGCACTGATCGTATAGACATTCCATTTGCATCCTTATTTTTCAGGAATCTCTCTTGAAATGAACGCGAACTTCGCGCATACAGAATTGCTTTTTTTTTTATTTAAAAATATAAAATGTTAATAAACTGCTTAAATTTGTAGACATTTCTATAGCAGGTCGTAGCCAAACCAACAAAACACCAAAAAAAACATGTAAAGACAGGTACATAAGGTAAAAAACAAAGTCATTAACGAGGCAAAAGAAACGTACATTTGTGTGCGTAGATGATTGTCGGTTTAAGAGACATTGAGAACTCCCACGCAATGTCAGCAAATAGTTCTCGTGAATGCTCAAGCGCGTACCTCAAGTCGTCAACTAGAGTATCTTGAGGTGGTGTATGATACTGAAGACCAGGCGGCGGAAGCAGTGAGGTTCTCTTCTTCTCGGAAGGCATTGTTTGCAGAACTTATATTAATGAGATAATACTGTGCATGGAACAAGTGAAAGTCGATAGTCTAATAGTGATAGGTTAGAAGCGACTTTATTTAATGATAAAGGGCAACCAATTAAACAATTAATGGAGAATTAATAATAATAATTTTATATTGGTAAATGCAAGACAGCTAGTAATAATGAAGAAAGGATAAAAAAAGAGAAGGAAATTGTTTTGTTTATCTTAAAGGCAAGCTTCAGAGACACTCATTATTACATCGACTGGAAAACGTTGTACAATGTTCTATTTATTACATCGTCATCGTTCTGCATCATCTACATGTACTACTACCGCTACTACTACGAACTTGTATAATAAGCGTGATGCAAAATATTTACAACGAAACGCAGAGGAAATATTTTTTTGAATGGTGCATTTTTAGATTAATTAACTTCTATAAACAACAATAGCGATATGTAATTTCGGTTTAATGGGACTTTTTCATTATCGTTATACGTTCTATGTTACTTTTATTTATTTATTCCTATTTTCGATAAGCGCGCCAAAGAGAAACGTGAAAAGGGGCATTGTTATATACATACTGTATATGTTTTTTTAAGTTTCATTACTCAGATAATGATCGGATTCAAAAAGGGAAATCTGCGCGTGCTATACATGTACACATCAAGAGAAAAAAGAAACGAAAAAAATGCGCACGTAGTTGACCAAGCAAGACACTCTGCACAGACGATGAATGATAGTCATTCGTAATGTCACTCACATGAAATTCACACGATGCACAAAATTATAATAAATAAGATTTATTAGCATGATCATGTATTTGTAAATGCGAGTAAAATATACATAAAATAACTTGTTAGTGGAGGAATTTCTATAATAAATAATTAATTGATATTACAACTTTGACATTCATTACAATTGATATATTTTGAGATACATTATTATTAAATATATATGTTATACCCCTCGTCTATTAAATATTCGCCTCCAATTATTCCATCGATTATTACGAGTACGAGTACCGGTACCAGTTCCAGTTCCAGTTCCAGCTCCAGTATCAGCACCAGCACCAGCAGTAGTTTTGGGACTAGTAGAATCATGCTTACGATATCCGAAATGTCGATCACGATGATAGCTCCATTGGAAAATAGATCCAAGAATAAACAACGCCAACAACGCAGCCAACATCAAGTAAACCTTCCAAGTCGCATTATAAACAATATCATGGTTTCCATCCATAAACAATCTCACCGACTCTTTGAATCCCGTTCTGACAAACATATCAAGACCCAAAATGATACTATACGCGCCGATAAACGCCGTACTCAAGATTATCATGATGTTCTTGAAGAAGAACATTAAGAGGAAGCCGGCTATGATGAATATTAGGATAAAGATTATTCGTCCGGCCTTTGAGTGAATTATTCCGTTGTCGGCTAATGCGAGAATAAAGAGCGCGACTGTGTAGCCTGCGAGGCCGCCTAGTATCCAGACTGCTAGGTCTGCACAGCACATTGTGATAAGGCCGATGATCAATCCGACAGCTAGTGAGACTACTAAGAGTATTACGGAGGCGGCTTTTCCGTAGCCATTGTTTGGTTCAGCGTTTGTTAGAATTACCCAGGTGATTAATGCTGTATAATTCGAATTGATTAGAGCGTATGGTTCAAATTGATTAGATATTTTTTTTGGAATATTTCAAAGAGAATTTAGTTTCTCTCATGTATACTTACATCCAACATAGAATCCTAACAAAAACATAGTCAATCGATAAAATCTACGACCAAAGAAACAATAAATCACTCCGACGATAATTAAAATTATTCCAAGAATTACTGTGTGCGCCGTAATTTTACGAACTATTAACATGCCATAATAAAAATAGAGAATTAGAAATTGAATATTTTTATAAATTTCTAGAATACAAAATTGAAATTATACGGAATTTCGTGCTCCAAAAAATGAATAACTTACCATTCTCTTGATTCTGCTGCCCTGCTGATGTATCACGCTTCTCTAAGGGCGAAGCAAACGCCCCCAGTATCCAAGACGTGCACAGCATCAAGTAGCAAAAAGTTTTTAGTATTTCCGAGTTTAGTTTGTTGGCCATCTTGGAAAATTGTAAAGGTAAGCAACTATTGCCATTGTTGCTGCTGCTGCTATTACTATCGTCGTCGTTGTGTTTAGGCGACATTTTGTAAAGAAAATTACAATTTTCGTTTTTTATTAAGGAATTCGAATTTCGTTTTATTAAAAAAAATTCGAATTTCGTTTTTATTAAAGAATTCGAATTTCGTTTCTTATATATTTTATTAAAAAGAATTCGAATTTCGTTTTTATTAGAATTCGAATTTCGTTTCTTATAAAATATATTTTATTAAAAAGAATTCGAATTTCGTTTTTATTAGAATTCGAAGTTCGTTCTTATATAAAGAATTCGATTCTTATATAACGATAAATGAATGACTCCCTACGCCATTCAGCGATCATTATGACGTCTACCACTACTCATATTATCGGATCTTCAAAATTTTAGGCAGAATTACCTAAATATGACGTACATGCTTGCTTTTTCGACTTAAATACGTATGTATACATATCGATATATCGATATTCTTCATGATGCAAAAAGATTATAACCACTTTGTTGGCAAAACTTTGATGCGAGAAAATTCTGACAGTGTTGCAAAAAATATTTCGAAGGACATGGTATGACGATAATTATCGATATGATCAAATGTTCTTTATAAATAAAATTATTGTGTTATTATAATTAACAGATTGTTTATGAATCGGAATTACCTTCGAAACATCGTATAATCAGACCAGGATACATGTATACTGCTGATTATGTTCAAGATAGGTACGAAAAAGTATTGTATACTGTATATCAGATGCACTTCTATTAATTTATTGTTGTTGATGTAGATTGCAAGTTCGCGTTAATGAGGATAATGTTATTGAAAGTGTTCAATATGGGTAATAAATGAGCATTCATAATAGTTGACTATTAATAAAGGATCAGAAAATGCTTCTTGTAAATTATATATGTTAAAGCCAGCCTGAATTGTTTATTCTCGAGTAAAAATTCTGTCAAATCTATAAAAAAAATGCTTCTTGGAAAAGGCAGCAATGATTCTGATAACTATAAGCTATCCTCTGTCTTGTTATGTGAAATTTATAACTATATTATTAAAAATGAAATATTACCGTTACGGTCAGACTAAATCGGTAATCAAATTTCAAGATATATATTATATGTAGTCAAATCCTTTTATTAACTTTAAGAGAGTAGTTTTCCCTACCCCGTTTTCTCCTACTATAATCACCTTGTCTCCAGAAAAAACTTGTAATTGTAAATTATGAAAAATAACCCTTTCCCCCAGCAACAAGTTTAAATTAGTGATTTCTAACTTTAATTTTTTTTTATCACTAAAATGCAAAATCGAGAAAAGATTAATAGACATCGCGATTTTATTAGTTGAAAATGGATTTTTCTTGTCATCAAATCACACGCAACAACAAAAATAATGACCGAATCTCTAATGCCCGAAAATAAGCAACCTTTTTTACATTGTTCTTGAAAGGCAAAAATAGGGGAATTGCTTATTTTCGGAACTTGAATTTTGCTTGATAAATGGGGAGGTTGCTTATTTTCGGGTTTTTACGGTAACGTGATAAAGACAGCGATAATTTCTATGGATAAGCAACACTAAAAAAACGTCAAATACATTCCGTTTGTCAAAACTCGAAAATCTCACGTACTTGATCGTGGTAAATTCGTGATAGTACATACCGCGTATTGAGAGAAACTTTGGAAAAATGTGTCAGTTTGATGTTTCGATAATGTATAGAGTTTGTTACGAAAATATAATGATCATATTATTCAAATAATTGGACTTGGTAAAGGTTTGAATATTTTACAAATATATTATTATCAACTATTTTTGTAATAATTAGATTTCGAAAATGAAAATTTCGAAAATGAAAATATTTGCTAATGATATAATAATGCAAGCGCCTATCAAAAAGTAACGGTAACTACTAATAATATTACAGCAGAAAATTATTTCGAGACCGTGGAAAATAAAGGAGGAAAGCGTCAACAAAGAAGCAGACTTCATCCAGAAGATTCGTTCGAAAATCAGGAAACTGGGTTTTTATTTTTACATTGATATGCACACTTGACATTTTTGATGGAACGTACATGTATTTGATGCATACAATTTTGGGAAAATAATTAAAATTTAGTATGCTCGGTTAAAATACATCAACTTTACATTAGCAATTTTATTTTTCTAAATACATGTATAATAATGATAATAAGTGTAATAAGAATAATATACTATTTAACTAATCCTTATGCAATGTCAAATCAAAAAATTTAAGAATGGTGAGTGCTCTAATAAGCACCAACCAACCAAATATTATCAAAATAGCAAAAGGAGAATGATTGATAATAGAAGGCAAGAGAGCAAAAAATATATACTCATTATACTCTATATATATATATATGTTGATACATATAACGAGTGTTCTTTGTGTAAATCCCCTTTTCTTTTGTTGTTGATAATGAATAATTACAATGTGCTGCACAGCAAGAAAAGATTATTCTGGTTTGAGATTAACACTTCACATTGCCATTGGCAATCAAGTCTTGCAGGATTTCTTAATATTTAAATAAAAAAATTAAATAATCCTCTGATAAAACTCGAATGACACGAAAATTTGAGAACTTACAGATAGATATTCAAACAAACAAATATCCATCATCCAATTAGCGAATGACGAAATTGCGCAGCGAAATTGTAGATTCGGAGGTTTTCTGCTTCTTTTGGCTAAACACATTCCAAAAACGAAGCACCTCATCACCAGCACCAGTCACAATTGAACGGCCATCCGGAGCTGCAGCAAGATACAAGACACGACTCTTATGTCCAGTCAGACAAACTAATTCGTCCATCGACGGATACTTCCACACAACAACTTCATTTCTACTGTATCCATGCGTAGAGGCTAACTCATTCACTTGTTCAGACCATGCGAGATTGGTCACCTACATAAAAAAAAATAACATATTTAAAATGGCAATTTATTAAATCAGTAAACGATGGACAGACGATTTGTTTTTTTTTTTTTACTTGGGATCCTGTGAGATAGCTTGCTATATTACGACCAGTATATGTGGTCCAAAACCGAATGCGTTGATCCTGAGATCCACCTCCGCTAGCTATGAGACTTCGCGCATGAGGACTCCACGCGATTGCTTTTACAGCGGACTTGTGTCTCAGACTGTACAACGGACTTGGTTTTCGTTGATCCCAGATGTGCAAAATATTGTCGTTACCACCACTTGCTAATTGCTCGTCCTGACTCCATTTCAATCCGCATATCTAGATAACAATTAATCAAAATCTGATCTCATGTAAAGATAATGTGTATTTTGATTAGTTAGATAGTAGCACTTACCTCTTGTGTGTGTGCATTCAGACATCCTATGAAAGGTTCAGGAGATCTGACATCAATATGATAAATATTCGCATCACGACTACCAGTAGTCAAAATATTTTTTTGCCATGCTAGACACCCTGTATACATATTAGTGCAAATTAATGTTTTAAAAGCTGATGTATACAAAATAAAGTCTGAGAGCAAGTCAATTACTTACCGACTCTTAGATTATGATTAGAGGATTTCCTGACCATTTTCATGCGACAGACATCATATATACGGACAATCCCTCGATTTGTACCGATTGCGATATGAGTACCCTTTTTAAAATCACGAAATTTTAATTATAAACGGTTGAGAGGATGCAGCTGTTTTTGACCAGTAATATATGAATTAAGTCACCTCTATACTCCAATTTACAGATGATACATATTCTGGATACTTGAGCTGAGCTAAGGTTGTGACCTGTTAATTGTGCGCATATGTAGAATCAAGGTTTAATAAAAGCAAGCGATAAGGAAATCAATCTATTTTCAAGTGCCTTCCTTAATAAGGACATACCGATGGGGACCGAACATTATACAGGAATACTTCATTATCGAGTGCAACTCCTATAAAATTCGTCGAAGACCAGTCTAAAACGTTGAGGTAAAAATCATCCTATAATGACAATAAATTTTAAAGATGAACTTAAAAACAACGCAGCACACATACACACATATAATATAAGTCACGCCCATACATACCCGAATATTAGGGGCATCTAAAACTTTATAAAGGCCACGTTCGGTAACTTGTCTCGTCGCCTGACGAGTATTTTCCAAAATATTCTGCGCACCCATCGAAATCGGACTCACAGAATACACTTCACGATTCGGCGAATCGATAGGCATTAGTGATCTTGGCGTGTTAGATGGACTACGAAACTTTAATAGGGTTTGGCTTCGTGGAGTCGATGACAATGTTTGTTGTATGTTTAGAGAGTCGTCCGGCAGGTCATTGTCAGGAAACATTGTGTTTTCGAGGACTGCCCTGTATAGAACGTCTTTATCATCATCTGATTTGAAATTACATCATATCAATAGAGAAAGCTTTGTCGGAAACTACATTCCATTATATAACGCATTTCCAAAGTCTGAAATAGACGCGAAACAAATGCAGTGATCATTAACTAACTGTGTGTATAACAATACCTTTTCTATAAGATCTCGTTTCAGGCGTCCTATCTCCCGCATTATACTTCCGTTTCGACTTTGTAATAGGAGGTGTCAACCTCTGAAACTCCACAGCAGGATCGTGTATATGTAAAGGAATGAAACTATATTTTCATTTCACGAAAAAAACGCGAATTATTAGGCAGTTAAAACAAACACGCGCTCTTTTTCCATCTTTAGAAGGTGACTAACCGATCACCATATTCGGTTTTTCGTGGCGTAGACGTTACAGAACGTGTCCCAGACGGTGTCAACGGAAATGAGGTTACTTTTTGACCGCTACTGCTGCTGTTGTCGCGGCCGTTTCTCTTGGGAGTGGTACTTGTTGCCTCTGAACTATTATAATGGTTTTCTGAATTTGCTTTGGACATTATTTTTAGTTCTCGTTCTTTGCGGTTTACTTTTTAGAAAGCTGTATTCAGTAAGAGTCATGTAAAAAAATGTAAAGTAACTATTTGCGTTCGCGTATTTTAATATAATTTGTACAAGAATCCCGTAAGTCAAGAAATTTGAAAAGGTAACGTAAACATGAAGACATACATACGTCACGTTAAAAAAGCAAAAAGTACCAGATGAGAAGGCAAGCAATTATCGTCGCCGCTGTGGTTGTTCGTGCCTGAATTTTTTATGCTGCTGCGTAATATTTTTTACGTGTATCAGGTCTATCGATTTTAGGTCACTTGATATTTTCAGATTATTTTAATGATCTATAAGTTCTTTATAATGATAACAATCTAGCAACACTGGTGTTGTAAGATAAGATAATAAATAATACAATAATATAATTTATAATTTACAAAATATATAAGGTAAATTGTTTTTTTTTATTTTTTGTTTGTTATTATGCTGGATTTTATTTGTGGTGGCGAAATAAGATTATTTTTATAGGATCACAATATTGCATAAAAAAGTGGTAGTGGTTTTTGTATTTAATTGATGGTAGTGACGTTAAGAAAAATACAATAATAACAATAACAATAATAATAATAATAATAATAATAATATAATATAATATAATAATAATAATAATAATATATATGTGAATGTTCGTTGTATATGTTGTATATGCGCGTGTATATATATGTGTGTGTGTGTGAATATATATATGTGATGATGTGGTTTATGTGTATATATGAGTAAAGAAAATGCACGTGAAAAAATGAAAATCAAAATTTCGCCCCGCTCTGCAGAGTGATAAAGAGGAAAGTGGTAATCATTATTATAATTATTACTATCGTAAATTTTGAATATATACACAAAAACCGAAGAAATTTCAACAACGACGACGAGGATAATAATATAAATAATGATTACGAAACTAGGTATAAGTGTTTTTTTATAACTCCAGCAAAGCAAGGAACGAGTAAGTTTTATAATAAAAAAAAAAGGAAAAAAAGAAAAGATTTATATTACAGAAGGAGAGAGTAGACAGAAAATCACAAAAGATTCAAAAACTATCTACATCAAAACAAAGAAAAAGGGGGAAAAACGAAACAAGAATACTAATTGATTCAATCGTTTGTTGATTTATTTGAAAAAAAGACATTCCTTTACGCCACCACCACACTTTATATAGATTGTTTTTACAAAATAGATGTATGTATGTGTGTATGTATATATATCGAAGAGAAAAAATTGTTCTAACAGATGATACAACAGCATTTTGAAGGCTGGATAATACCATCGTCATCGTTATTGTCACCAGCATCCAAAGTATTATTATTTTTCTTATTCTTTTTGTCTTTTTTGTTTTTCTTTTTACTTTTTTGCTTGTCTGTACTTTGGGTGCTCTGTAGCTCGAGTGTGAGCGGTCTTGCGTTGTGCTCGTCTGATGTGAGCACAATCTTGGGATTGATAGTATCTGCCTTTGCTGGAGACTAAAGAAATAAAAAAATTTATTAGATCTAAAAATAATTTATATACAAGAAAATTGAAAATAGTAAAATACATACAGCTTGAGTATCTCCTCCAGATTGATCAATTTCATTTTCTGATGGCTGTCCGTTCCAAGTTGTTGAGGTTGATTTTTCGGACTATTAAAAAAACATCGTTTTATTAGTTAAATTATACAAATAGTAAAATTATTAACAAATCATAAAAAATTACCTTTTCGTCGCCATAACTTCCACTCACGTCACCCTCTTCTTCATCTCTCATCACCATAACCCACTCTTCCCTACGAGCCCTTCGTCCAACCCTCATTGGATCCTCAGCTGCGCCCGTATCAGATGTATTCATGACTGCCGTATCAGCGGCCGAATTACCATTACCCGAAAGCTCTCCTTCATTATCCTCAATCTCATTATTCTGATTATTTATTATTTGTTGTGGTCGAGCATTAGCAGTGACAACACGAGGTGGTGTCTGGGATTTATTATTGTTAGTATTAACAATAGGTCGCGTTTTAGATGCCGCTGAATTTTGCCGAGATCGTGTACCACGTCGAGTTGTAGGAGTAGAAGTAGGGGTTGATGTTTTTCGTCGAGGATAAGTAGGATATTTTTTAGCAGAATCGAATAAGTCTTCCACATAATCGGTAACATCTGTGTACCCTTGTTCAGTCGGTGAATTCGGAGTCGAGTATCGCTGAGATTCATTAAATTGTTCTTTCTTTTTCAACCGTTTTGCAACAGTTGGTATAATAACCTCGTCATGAGGTATAATTTGTTTTTTGGGGGGAGGAAGTTCATCTGACGGCGAAAGTTCAACATCATCATCATTTGTTGCGGATGCTAGAGTTGTGGGAGATGTGGAAATCGGGGGTAACCTACGGCTATGGGGTGGTGTTGATATAGCGGTTGTTTCAGATGCAACAGTGTACGATGAAGAATTATCTGAAAGTACCGTTTGATCAATTATCATCGAACTATTTCTTGGTGACGGTTCGGCAGTAGCGTATGAATCTGTCCTATTATTGGTTGGTGTGATTGATCTTGGAGGTGTAGCAGGTGGAGTAGTTAGACCATCAACACGATTAGAATAATTACTATAATTATTTTTATCTGCGGTGAATGAAGGTGAGGCTGATATAGTCCGTTCATTCATTACAGCATTATCAATGTTATAATTGTCCTTTGAATATTTTTTAGGTATCTCTTGTTCACTTTCATCTCCAGAAAAAGCCCGTTTTTTATTTTTATATTTTACATTTTGTTGCTGCCGATGTTGTTGTGATATTCGACCATTTAGAAAATTATATTTATAATCCGTTGTTGCTGTGGATGACGTATCGGAATCATCCATAGAAGCATTGGACATGCGCTGTTGTGATGGCAACGGATCAGTCCTTGACCTTCTGCCAGTGCCATATATTTTCCGCGTGGGAATTTTTGAATTTGAGCTACCATAATTTTTGTTTGTCGGTGAATCCTTGCCTAGTGTTGATGATGGCTCTGGAGCTACAGTTGTTGCGGAATAACTTCCAGAATTACGTGGAATTTTGTCACGCTTTCTAAAGGGATCCGGAATATGGCGTTCAGGTGATATTCGATCAGGAGTAAGTTCTACTACTTCTAACGCCTAAAAATCGAGTTTTAAATCATTAGATGATCGATTCTGATTCCCTACTTAAAATTATCTCATCTCCCTCATCCCCCCCCCCCCTTTTTTGAAGAAATTAATTAACTGCTTTTGAATCCTCCTCTCTGCCAATCTGTCAACATGACCATTACCATTATCATCATCACTACACTCAACCTTCCATCCGGACCTCCTCTAAATAAATCTAGCACTATATTGGCACTTACCGAATCATCAACAAACCGAATTTCAAAGGCTGCATTAGTTACTGAATTTCGTCGATTTGACATATCAACTGCTTTGGTTTGCATTAAAAATGCTTTTTTTTTGGTGTTTAATTTTTTTTATTTGCAGATTTTTGATTGTATTGTTATTTAAATGTGGTGTATAGGTGAAGGGCAAATATACCCCCAAACCTCGTCGTCGTTTTTTCCCAGAAAAGTCAATTAATCAAACCTATCGACTAACAGGATTTTTGAAAATGAACTATTTTGCGTCGAACGGAGGTCCGTGCGAGACTGCTATAGATAATAGTTGTTGCTGTTTGTTTTGAAGGATTTTTTTTAATACAACCAGAATGTTGATATAGATGTTTTTCGGGCAAGAGCAAATTTTCGTAATGTGTGTGTTGTGCGTGTTATATGATAGCGAGGTGTTGGCGTGAAGTGTGTGTGTGTTTGATGTGTCAGATAATAATATTATTATTGTTGTTGTTGTTACGGTGGGTTTGTTGCTCTGGCAGCCCTGCTGCAAATACAATAATAGATAGAGCACGCGCGTATAGCGAGAGAAAGAGGAACAAGGAAAAAAGGAATGTATGTAAGTCAGTCGTTAACACAAAGAAATAAACCTTTTTAATGAGATAATAGATATAATGTAATAGAAATGAACAATAAGGTTTGTTCGTGCAGCTTGCCACCTAAAAGAACATATATGTGTATATGCATACAAGGAAAAGGAAAAAGACGAAGAGAAAAAGAGATCCGGAATCGTCGTTAGTAAAATAGAGTTTCAAAGTTAAGTTCAACGATTTTTTTGAAAGTTTGACGAAAAAACAAAAAAAAAAAGTAACGAGAAAAATTAACTACCAAGTCGAAAGCACAATATAGATATGTATTATAAAAGAATAATAGATTTTTTTCGTGGATATATGGATATATATATATACGAATAATGATAATAAAAAATTCTATATTCTATAGGTGTACAGTTTATTGAGATGTCTGCTTGCTCTGCTATGCTACCACGCACACACACAAAAGCCAAACAAAACTACTGAGAAAAATATAGTAACACTTGGTCTTCTGAAAAGTTGAGGAACATACCTTGCACGTATTCTACTCGCTATATATACACAACTAATACTTTTACTATTATTATTGATAACCAGTAGTAGTTGTATGGTAGTTTTCTGAATTGTGGAGGTGACAAACGGCGACGATATATAAAGGCTGAAGAACTAAACCTTTTTTGCTCGCAGCGAACGAAACAAATAAAGAAACTAACGCATAGAAAAATAGTGAAATGAAACAAGTTACCCCTTGAAGTTTTCGTCAATTAGTTTGTTAGATTTGCTGTTGCTTTTGTCGTAGTTTGTTACGAGAGGGTGGAGAAAGAAGAGAAGAATAACGAGGTAAGGTGGCAAGAAAAAAAAAGTTGAAAAAAAAACCAACTAGAAAATCCAACTAAACTAAAATAAATTGAAGATACGAAGAAAAATCTAAAATTTTATTTGTATATATATCGATATATTTTGTATTGTATATATGTTAATGACTAAAAGAGTAGCGGCAACAAGAAAGTATAGGATTTTCTGTTTTTGTTATGTGACCATCCATTTCCTTGAACGGTTACTATACAACTTATACAAGCCCTAAAATAAGATATTCTTTATTATCACGTATATATTATATAAAGTACGTATATTGATTCGCTTTACATCAAACACATTATTATATACATTGCATCACACATCTTCATGCACGCTTTGTTGCGGCCGTCGGATTTTTACTGTCTATCGCTATCGATTGATCAAGAATGCGTATTTAGTGTTCGTATTTCGTTGAATCATGTGAGCAGTTTATTCTGTTAATTCTTTCGTGGAGGAATATTGATATTCCTTCATTTAATGTCCATATACAATTTTTTTTTCTGTAAAGCACGACTTCGATACTTATGTTGCGTCACATAACAATTTATTAGGATTCATTATAATTTATTACGGGAAAATATGGAATACATTAGATAACTAACTAGTGTATCGTATGTTGTTACATAGAGGAAGGAAGACGAAGAAAAAGTACGTATCACGAACATTAATAAATGCATCTATGAGTCATCAAACGGCGATAAAACAAATCAGTTAGGGGCAAGCAATAATTTAAATAGCAACTTGTGTGTATGTTGTTTCCGCTGTTCCTATTTTTTATTTCCCTAATCTTTGCTTTATTTGAGCAAGAAGCAAAATTGCATCTTGAAATAAGATTTTGAAAAAAGACACACATGCGTAAAAAAAAAAGTATAAATATAAATATAAATGTGACTTGTTTATTTATATCTCCCCTCTCTCTTCTTGTTGGCAAGGATCCATTTCTTACGATTGGCAAGGACGAAAATTTCAATCAGGCATTTCACGTTTAACGTTAATTAATTTTTCATACGCCAACCTGCATCATAATAAATTTAGTCAAGAAACCCAAATTGAAATAACAAAGGAATTTTCAACCACACACTAATATGAATTTATTGGATCAATGTTAAATCACAATAATTTTTTCAATCACATACAATAACGAAATAGGATTACATGTGCTACGCAGACTGCATTATGCAGAAAAAGTTGATAAAAAAGGGGCGAAGTTGATGGAAAATTAAATACTTGTCATAATTTGGTTAGTGTTGTAATAATAAGAAACCTGACGAAATCTTCAATTCTCAATATCTATTATTATCGTTATCGTTATTACGACTCAAAAGAGAAATTCGATATATCGATATATATAAGTGATAGGGGTAAAAGTAAAAATCAGAGGAAGTGAAGGCTGAAAATCATGTTGAAGAAGCAAGAAGAGAAGATTGTAAACGAAAAACACGAATTAAACTTGTTAAGGGAGAATTTTTATCGCTAAAATTATTTGTTTATTTATCTATAATATTTATAATACGTAGGCTGAGTTGGAAATCAAGAATTAAACATGGATACACGTGGGTTCGTTCGTATTTACGTCACAGTAATGAAATAAAACTCAAATATAGGCATCGCAGAAAATACTACAAAACCTAAGATTTACGAACTAAGATTTTATTAGTTCATTTACTGGATCATTCATTGTTTATCATCATTGTTGTTGTTCACGATCATTGTTCCCGTAGGTAGAATAGCATGAGTGTTTATTGGTAAATAGGGTAAATGGCAGGCTACATTATTATGTTTTCAAATGACAAACAGGAAATCAAATTAAAAAACAATAATAATTGATCAATGTGTACAACACACACAAACACAACAATCCGACTTCATTTGATTGAGTTTTTAGTCAACAAATTAACATTATTAACGTTAATATAATTTCCCACCCCCTTTAGGATTCTTCTATCACCTAAGGTTAGATCCGTGTTACCATGTAACTTCAGAAGTAATTTCATAATTTGAACGTTTCTAGCTGGCATTAAGTGATCAACAAAATTTTTGGTTAAAAAATGATCCGAAAAATCGATGTACTCGGAGCCTTTAAATAAAGTTGTTGCCTGGGTCTCCGCGAACAAGACGATATATAGAATGTGGAAAAATAACGTCTCCCTATAGAATACAATACCTTCGAAATCGGCATCTATCTTGTCTTTTTGTTTGATTATTCTCCAGTTCGCAAATTCTTGTCATGAAAAGTGGTTCACCAGTTACGCCTGAACGAGAGCTTTCGACAAACTAGTTTTTACTACAGCGAATACTGCGCCATGTGGACAATTTTTTATTATAGATCTTATACATATTAATTAGTCTGACCAATCATAATTCTTTTTTATTAATAGTAATAATATGCTTCGAACTTTGGTTGTAGTAACCAATCAGAAGTTTCTGTTCTTATCACATGACTAGATTCAACTTCATTAAAAATTAACCAATTAACAAACGGTTTTCGTAACTTATTGACAAATCATGTGACTGTTAAACCGATCTACCATATGGATCATTATTTATATTCTTTTCATGTTCAATTTGATATATAGAACATACTTTTTTTCCAATTTCAAGGCAACTCTTCAAGATGGCTATGGCAGCATCGGCAAAGAACCGGAACGTAAGAATTGACTCGTTTTGCTCTCTTTAGTCACAGCTTTTTTGAACCTATATATTTAGTTTTTGATTAACAGTTACCACGCATAGGCCCGGTTACCACCTGAAGTAAACAGAGTGCTTTTCGTGAGAAACTTGCCGTTTAATATTACCTCCGATGAAATGTATGATATATTTGGAAAATATGGGGCTATACGGCAGATTCGATTGTAAGTGATTCGATCAGTGTCAATTAATCAAGAGCACAAAAGACATTTTTTCTCGTGATGAATATACAAGCTAAGAGATTAGAGTGAATATTTTGAAATTGGAGCAAAAGAAGATGGATCACAAATAAAAGATGGGGAAAATCCAGCTTATCTTTTTGTTATAGCGATTTTATTAAATCACTACTAATATTATAATATACAACACCCAGAGGAAATGAAAAAGATACTCGCGGCACAGCTTTTGTTGTATATGAAGGTGGGTCGAACAAATTTATATTGCATCTCGGTAATTTTCATGTATATAGTTAGAATGATTTTTAATTATTACGGTTATTGTTTGCTTCTAGACATATTCGACGCGAAAGCTGCCTGCGATCACTTGAACGGATTCAATGTAATGGGAAGATATCTGATAGTGTTATATTATCAACCAAACAAAGTCACAAGGAAAATGAATCTGCAGAAAAAAGAAGAGGAGCTGCGAGAATTAAAGAGGTTTGTCTTCAATTTTTTGTATTTTTTATTTTTTTTTTTAAAAAAAAAGAATTTTTAATAATCTCGTACAATTTTATTATTAGTCGATATGGTGTAGATGACGAGGACTGAAACAATTTTGTTTACTGATGTGTAAATGATGAGAATTTATGTTTATTAATGTGTATGAAAAAAGGCGGCAAATAAACCTTATTTTTTGTTGTTCATAATCCTTTTTTTATCCTCGTGGCGCCATTAATATATATATAGATACATATGTATGTGCGTGTGTATGTTTGTGTGTGCGCGGAGGAGAAGTTTCAACATCGAAATCTCCAATAGACTTAACAACGTCGAAATCGCCAATTTCTAAATTTTTGTATAATAAAAATTAAGTTCACGTTCTAAGTTAAGTTAAATGTGTTTATTTGTAGATGTTGATTTGATCTTACCAAAGTCCGGAAAAAATCTATCATCCGTCAGAATATGTTTATCAAAATTCTTATCGCAATCTCATCATATTTGCGTATTTTGTAATTTAGACCTTCAAAGGCATCGCCAAACGTATTCCGTCATGATATTCATATCGAAGAAGTTGTGCCCGTTTTTCTCGTGGTATTGCATTTTTAGCGATTTTATAATCGACCAATACGTGGCTTTTTTCCGCCCTCCAGAAGTTTTTTTTCCGTCTTTATATCGTTTTTCATTAAACATCACGAGCTTGTCGAAAGATTTGGAAACCGTCCATAGATCCCAATAGAACCACATCTCGTCGGTTTCAATGGTCATTACAATACCTTTTATCACCAATATAACGGTTTACAATATAATACGTTTGCAATTCTTTCCTTCAAATGCAATCTAACTATCTATACCGTACACTCAAATAGATCTATTTTTATTATGACTAATTGGCATTCAAGAAGACAATTAATTCCTTCTATTATACTTACTACTGTAGTTTGGTATTCAATACACATCTATGAGAATACGTACCAACCTGGCTGAAAATATCATGATGTGTGTGACCAATCGATTTATCTGTGTGAACTTGAAATATTTGTTTGCAGTTCAATGATGGCATATGCACCTTCAGAAGCCACCTTCGCACGCCTTCATTTTCTCTGGTCAGCGGCACATACAATGTTTCCCGTATCGCCTAACCTTTCCGCTTTGTACATGAGCGAGTTCAAAAAGAATGCCGCTGAAGTTCGTTTGAATTTGGCGGACGGAGTACGACGTATATATTGTAGTTATTGCGGGAGTATTTTTGTTCCTGGAGTTAATTGTAAAGTATGGGTGGGTGAAAATGGATTTATCAAGAAAAAAAGATCCCGTGTAAAGAAAACAAAGAAGGTTCAGCATAGAAAAGGAAATAAAGGAGAAAGAATGGAAATGAAAATGATGGGAATGAATTTAGAAGTGATAAATGAATTGACTAATGATAGCAAAGATAATGCTATGCAGAGTGGTAAGAGAATTGGATGATTTGATTCTTCATTATAATATTTCCTAATATTTAAATCTAAATATTCTCTTATTTAGTTACAAGTGATGATAATTTCATTAAAAATATGGACAAAAATTCAAAATCCAATGACTCATCGCGAAAAATAGTCCACATGTCTTCTGCATCCGCCTCACATCTATATCATCCTTACAATATTGCTAAATCTTTGTCGGCCTCTAACTTGATAAGCAAATCGACAAAAATAAATCGTCATAACAAGAATCACGTATCTTACTTGTGTCAGTTATGTAACTGTGAGACAAGATGGCCTGGAAGTTCAAAAGAGCCAACAATTCGGAAAAGAGAAATAAAGAAAAAAGAAAAAGAAAAAAATAATAATACCATTTCGAATATATCTAAGAATAGTAACAATAATAATAGTAATATTAGTAATAATAGTAGTAGAAATAGTAATAAAACAACCATCGCGGATTCTGACACTTTTGTTAAACCAGCGAACAAGTCGCGCAAAAAGAAGAAATTGGATCTTGCGAGTAAGATAGAAAGTAATGAACGCAGCAAAAAAAATGAACAAAATATCGGAATATTTTCTTTGACAGATTTTTTATCATCTTTGTGATTCTGATATTAATATAAAATAAACTTTTGGCAACAAATAATACTTTTACGATATTAACGAAAGAATAATTAATTGGTAATAATTCCAAGAACATCATTTTCTTTATATTAACTAATTGCTTAATTTTATTATTACTTCTTAAATATTAATGATTTAACTTGCAACTTCAAACTCATTATAAAATTCTTTTAGTGTGTTATTAATAGGATTTTACAAGTAAATTCACTCTACAAGTTTCTATTAGTCATAATAATCTCATCTGAATTTTGCACAGCCATTTCTTTTCATTTTCCATATTATAATGTGTTATTACACTAATTAAAATCTTGGTAAAATCTAGGAACAATTATAATAAATTTCTCTCAATAAATTGAATTTACTAAATCAAGCTTGACAAATTATTTTACTAATAATTCCAATTATTTTTCATGCTTTGAATATTATAATTTTGTAATAAATAAACTAGAAACTAAAATGAAAGATACAAATATCTTTTCTTATTATTATTTTTTTGCAAAATTAGCTACAATTAAATTTTTTTATAGTTTTATAGTTGATTATATTTATCAAGAATAAATTTTCTTCACATATAGTAACAGTAACTAACAAAATTATGGAATTATATGTATAAATTTATTAATAAAATATAATAAAAATAAAAATATTATTTTATTTTATAGTAGCAATTAAAAAGGATATAATATCAAAAAAATTGTTAACAAAATATAATAAAAATATAAAAAATATAATTTTTTATATAAAGTTTTTGATTTTATTAATAAATATTTTTTATTTTTATATTAAAATAAAAATAATATTACATATTTTAATATATAAAATTAATAAAATTATAAAATCATATATATAATTTTATTAATAAAACATAATAAAAATTAAAATTTTATATATATAAAAGTTTTTAATTTTATTAGTAAATATTTTATATTTTTATATTAAAACAAAGATTATAAGTTATAGTTTAATATATATTTTTTTTGAATTTTTTAGTTTTTTTTAATAAAATTATTTTAATTATAAAGTTATTATAAAAATTTTTATATAATCAAATTCCTTTATAGTCATGTTCATTTATAGTTATACTTCTTTATAGTTACTCTATCTTGCTTTCTTATTTATATATAAGTATAATAGAAAAATTATCTATAGTTATATTCTCTTTATAATTATCAAATTTTACTTTTCTGAGAGTAATAAGTTTGACTATAATTAAATATAAAATTAATTATAAAAATTTTTGTAATAACTTAGTAATTAAAATAATTTTGTCAAAAAAATTCCAAAAAAAATATATATTAAACTATAACTTATAATTTTTGTTTTAATATAAAAATAATTAATAAAATTGAAAATTTTTATATATGTAAAATAAAAATTTAATTATTATTATATTTTATTAATAAAATTATATATATAATCTTATAATTTTATTAGTTATTATATAAAAGTTTTTAATTTTATTAATAAATATTTTTTATTTTTATATTAAAGTAACAATTATAAATTATATTTTAATATATATTTTTTAGATTTAATTTGATAAGTTATTTTAATTACAAAAATTTTTTTACTTAATTTTATATTTTAATTACAAAAATTTTTTTACTTAATTTTATATTTTAATTATAAAAAATTTTTATAATAATTTCATAATTAGAATAACTTGTCAAAAAATATATATTAAAATATAAATTATTATTTTGATTTTAGTATTTAAAAAAACTTAATTAATTAATTAACTATTTAATATAATAATTCAAATAATTTAACTAATTAATTATTATATTAATTCATTATTAAATTATTAATAATTAATTAATTAAATTATATAATAAAAATATATATAATTTATTAATTGTTTTGATAATATAATTTTACTAAAATTATTTTTGTTATTATTATCTTTTTTATTTTAATATTTTATTTTGATTTTAGAGAAAATATTTTTAGTAATATCAATTTTAGAAGATAAATTTTATTAATTTTATATTATATTAATACTTAAAAATTTATTAATTAAAAAATTTTTTAAAATAATAGAGAATATAAAAAGCTCTAAAAATATCAAATCAATAAAAATAGTTTATATTTTATTTAAATAATTAATTACTTTTAATTTAGTAATTAATATTTTAAAATATTTTTTTACTCTTTTTACCTTTTTATATTTTCTATTTTTTCTATTTTTCTATTTTTTTTATCTTTTTATCTTTATCAGAAAATTTTTATATCTAATTATAATCAATTATTATCCAATAATTAACTATTATTAATTATTAATAAAAAATTATTAGATATAATTGATTATTAAAATTGAATATAATTAATTTTTATTAGAATTAGTAATTATTTATAATCAATAATTATTGATTTTAATTAATTATTTATAATTGATTATAATTAATTATAATTATTTATTGATTTTTAATAAATTATTTATAATTTTAATTGATTTTTAAATTTAGAGCAATTGCAAAATATTATATTCTTCTAATTTTCTATAAATACAAATACTAAAATTTTTTTAAAGAATAAATATTGTTACCGTTTTGAGCTTTTGCGTATGAAAGTATTTCAAAATGGCAATAGTGACTGTGTTCACGGCAATTTAC